GGGGGGGGGGACGACTAGAGAGGAGCATTGTTGTCAGTAAAACTGGTCATTTTCTTTGCAGGACAACTACCCGGCGTGCTGTGTAGGCTCAGGGATCGGAAGCCAGGCACCGCACACAAGCAACGTGGGTAAGTAGGGTGTGTGGTGACAGACTGCCTGTGATTGATTGATTGAAAAGGACTGTATAGTTTCTTGAAAAAGAGGCAGGATCGTTATGTTGAAATTGACTCGGTTTTCATAATTCCACACATATATGCAACTGGTGTTATCGCCTATAATTGTATACGTACTTGTCCTGATATATATCAGCCAAGATGTTAGAGGCAAAGAGTAGAAAAACAGCCTTTTATGCAGTCTACACCTCTGACTGGTTGAAATTAAGTCTTCTGAAATCATTATTAGGTGCGCCTTGTGCATCATCTTGCGAAAGGTAATTCACATTGTCGAAACAAAGACCGCGCTTCTATAATTCACACATTTCTACAGGAAATGGATCCTTCGTTTGAGTAGTTTCACTACCAACATATGTTGGGTTGCTGCGTCCCATATCGTCATCCACTGGGTACGGGTAAGTACGTCTTTCTTTTCGTGACATTGTTTTGCCAGCACTATAAAAATAAAATAATTCAAATTCTTAAAAAACTGGATCATGGGATAATGAAATTCAAGAGCTTTCGTTGGCTTAGCCATCATGGGTTATGAACCATTATACCATGCTCCAGAAATATGGTAAGCGTACAAATGAATTTTTGGTAACGTTTTTATTGTCATTCTAGTCTAGTTTGCCATATTTTATTGGAGTTTTTAATTAAAAGATTATTCCACTCGCGCTTGTTGGATATGAGATGGTTATAGCCAACACGGCACTAGGCGCCTCGTTGGTTATCCGCCAGCTCATATCCAACCCGCTCGTGGGTAATTGTTAAAAATGCGGGAGAAAATGCTATAAAATTAATCACGATAATGGGCATATAGAGTAAAGATGTAAATTGATGAAGATGAAGGATGGTAAAGTTATCAGACGAAAAAAAATTTAAAGAGGCTACCTGTGGTCATGCTATGTGTCATTATTTCAGCTTTAGATTTATTATTATTATTATTATTATTATTATTATATTTTTAAAGATTTTTATTTAACAAATAAAGAAGCTGAAGCCGTGTATTACACTGTGACAAAACAGGACGAGCATTTGAGAACACGAGGGAAATCTAGAAAACACGAGCCGCAGGCGAGTGCTTTCTACATTTCTCGAGTGTCCTCAACACGGCTTCTTCATTTGCTTTATGACATAGAGATAATGTGGCGAAAAACAATAAAACACGCTTTTTTTTTATGTTTTATACTCTGTTATAAAATAACTGAGATACTACACACGCCCTGATTGGTCAATAGAGTTGCTAAACCTATGTTCTCGATCTATGGTAGCTCTACGCGGGAACTAGACAGCTCGGAATTCTAGCGAATGTAAAAAACAAATGTAAAAAACAGTTTTGCTTTTAACTGGCTGAGATATCAATAACACGAATATCTTTTCATTCACCATATACATGGAAATTTGCAAGGGAAAAAAAGGACCAGAACTTGGTCGTCACATAAAGCTTTACCTTTTTTTTCCACGGAAAAAATATTACGCCGACTCCGGTTACGCTTGAGATTAAAATTAGGGAAGTTGTAAATCTTTTTTTCGGTGCTTTCCCCGGCCTGTGGAGGACGAAGTCAGCTGGGCTTGACTGATCAATTTGGGTTGTCACAAAAGCAGGAAAAAGATTTCTTTCTATCAGACATTTTGAGTTTAAACTCAATGCGTACATGCATAACACGATAAATGAATTCGGTTTCCGGCCATAAGCTTAGCGCTCAAGCCATAGTTTTAATTTAGCAAAATACAGAGAAACACGGACTTCATAGCCTTCAGCATAAGTAAATAAATTCTGAATAAATTTCGGAAGCAGCGTTTCTATAACTAACCTTGATTCCATTCGCAAAACTTTGGAAAGTTATCGTTTAACACTGCGGAAAGCTTGTAAATCACTCGCCTAACGGCTCGTGATTTACAAGCTTTTCTCGTGGTCTCCCAACATCCCACCTGGTTTATTGCGCCAGTAAACCCATAGAAAGAGTGGTCTATTGCTTAAATAAAACCTGGGTTTTTGACCAATCAGAACGCGTGCAGGGTCCTATCTATATTATAATATTGTTTGTGAGTGACCCACAAACTGGAATCATAAGCATCACTGCAGTTGGAAAATTAGCCCTTCCCTCATGCAAAGCTACCGTAGAAACATAGGTGTATTGAATTAAACAGGTTTAGACAATTTATTAATTTGGGGCGCAGGAACGTTCTCAGTTCATTCTGTTCAAAGTGAAGCTGATCCATCTTGAACCAACACTAACTGATCGAAGGAAATTCTCCACAAAAATTCTTTTTTAACTTAGCGCTATCGTGAGGTACATTTTTTTAGTAATGAAATAACTTACACACAGTGTTTCTTCGCACAAAAGATGGTGATACCAATCAACCCAATAAATATGCCGGCTCCTATTCCGCCAATGATTGTATATAGAATTGGCTTGGAGAAACCTTGCTTCTCAGTGCTGGAGGGGCTGGGAATTTCTGAAAGGAAATGCCAAAATATCAGTAAATATAAGTAAATCGCGACAGATTATGTAATTCTTCCAAGGCGAGTAAACTTATACTTCATTGCCCAACTCAAGACTTGACAGGCATGCTAACTCCTTATTGTCGTGCAGCAATATGACACAATAATTAATTGATTTCATGTCTTAAAATCGTGCGATCACTTTTTACTTGCATTTAGAATTGCCTACAACCAAGAGATGTGCTGTTTAACAGAGCAAAACAAGTTAAAGCTTCATTTTCAAATGACCTTGACAATTTTTGCGCGACTTTGATGCTGTCTGTCCGAAGGTTGTTGTCCCGGATGGACAGGATAAACATGACGTCTGGGCCTCTTGATCTTGGTATTCATCCACTGCGCATGCCTGGCAGCCAGAAGTGTTAAAGAAATATCCAAGTGGACAGTTTACTAATGCAAAAAATAAAACAAGCAAAACAAAGTGGTATCAGCATCTAAGTTCTAATTATACTAACACTAATAATTTATTATAACAATACATAGAGCGGTTTTGCAGTAATTGGTTTTGCATTACTATGCTACAACAACAACAACAACTAGCGGCACCATTTCATCCAATCAGAAGAAAAACCAAAAGCAATTATTACTTGTTCGCACGTGTTTTTCCGCTCTTCGACAGCTCAGTACGTGTATTAACTTCATGTTTTGATTGATTAATTTAGATTTTCTGTGTCCTTTGCATTGTTATTAAGCTAAAGTGATTACATTGGTTTTGGTTTCGCAACCCTCGACTGAAAAATACTATATTATTTATTGTACGTGAAGATGTGATTTAGTTGTTTGTGCACTAAGGGTTGCTTTTTGTTAGTTTGATAGTTTGTATTTGTATGCGTGTGCGTCGAATTAAAAGAACCAAGGTAAGCGGAACTGGCCGATCACTGGGAGCAAGGTAAGTGCACCGTATATTCTAATCCCGGCTGTCAAGACGCTGCCTATTACATTCAAAGTTGTCTGATCTTGGTAGAGTCAGGTGATCTGACAAAAGCAATAATAATAATAATAATAATAATAATAAAACTTCTTACCACATCTTGGCCCTCTTTGGACTTGTCCTTCACTACAAACAAGACTGGTAAGCCGAAACACTGGCGGCTTTGATGAATCATATACTATAATGACTCCGTTGATGTTCAATGTCAGGTCTGTTTCGTTCAATGCCTCGAGCAGGTTATTTGATATTTGTTGACTGGTCTGGTTGAGGTCAAATAAAGAGGCGTTGCTTGGTAACGGTACTTTTAAAGAAAAATGCATGGTAAGAGAAATTTTAGAAGCTTGCTTGCCATCAGGTGCGTCTCTTCTCCTACGTGCTTCAGTTTGGTTTCCGCATTCAACCCCCACGTTGTCGATCGTGCATTTCCCGTTGCAGCCTCCAGCCATACCAAATGGCGAGTTTCTGAAAAGGTTTATAAAATTGCCGGCGATGACTTCGTTCACGCTCTCCCCGCCGCACTTGTCAGCTAGATAATGTACATCTCCATTTACCACGGCTTCCTTGGGCATGTGAGTTTCTGTAATATTAAAATATTTACCTCTTACTAACCAAGAGCTATAGCCTTACTGGTGAGTATTGGCCCGTGGTCATGGCAGTACGGACCTCGCTGTGCTCGGTCCGTACTAAAATGACCGAGGGCCAGTATTTCCTTGAACGGCTCAAGCAAGCTTGTTAAGTAGTTTATTATTTCGCACTAGAGCAAGTGGAAAATCTTGAATTGTCTGGCTTTCGAAAACAAACAAACAAACAAACAAACAAANAAAGTAGTAACTGAGAAACCGGTAGCCTTCATATAAATAGTTACGAAATAAAAAGATGAACTATTAAAAATCAATAATGTAGAGAGACTCTCAAATATGCAACGATAATATCAAAATGATATGAGACGCACTAAAATTTACAAAGTCATTCCGTAGAGATGCTCAGAGCCATCTTTAATTTTCTTGAAAAATTAAGGAAGAAAAGGAGAATAATCATCAAGCGAATTAAACAGACAAGTAATTGTTGATGTTATGGACGGTTTCCGTAACAAGTAGCGAGGATAGTTTTTATTTTTGTTTTTCGTATAACACTTAAGATTATGTTAAAAGTACCTCGTACAAATAAAATATATTCAATTAATTTTTAATCGCTTTACGCCTTGTAAATGGCTGACATCAAGAGACATGTCAAAGCGGAGGCTGCATAACTTTTCTCCGCCATTTTTTTTTTTTCTAGAGCTTGGACGGAAAGTTGGAAATCGAAACTCTAATCCAATCCTATGGATTCCGGCTATTAGAGCTGAAATGGGTAGAGAAACAGCTCCAAAAGATAAGCAAGTTTTGGAATTTAATGGCTTTAAGATAAAGCATATCCTACCTCTGACAGAAATAGAGAATGTACAGCTTGCAATAAGCCCAGCTGAATCCGTCGCTATGTATGCGATGTGCTTATTGCCAACATCCAACTTTTGCGGCGGAAGCAAACCACTGAGGCTTACAGGCTCGTTAGAGTTGTCGGTGGGGTTTGGTACCTGCCACGTCGCGCTTGCAAATGGTTGTCCAGGTTCTGTGGGAATCTCCACAT